ATATCTTGTCAATATTGCCAGATATATGATTGAAAGCTTTCATAAACAATTCATACCTGCAGGCAGAATATGCAGACTTCAGAGTTCAGATCAAGAAATTATAACGCTGTACAAAGAAGGCTAACAGATACTTCTGCTAATTATCCTAGCAGGGTGAGCATATAACGGAATTATCCTACATCTCATTAAAGCAATGCATAAGCCAAGAGCTGAATAAGGGAAAACGAAAAGGGAACCTCGAACAGCAGCACAATATATAATGTGCCTATCATAATGATCAAGAATATAACCAGAAAGGTGCAATCAAGAACATGTTTCAAGAGTTTCAAAATGTTTATAAACAATAAAGGGGTCATCATATCCTTCTTTGAGGTTTTCTTTACTGCCTCACGCATGCCTGTTTCCACAGTTCCCTTAAATGACCATTCAAAGTAGCTGCATTCATGCCATTATTGAGCTAATAAATAGAGATCTGTTGAGTGGACAAGGGGTACAATAAAACAGAAATCCTGAAACATCTCGTTAACACTTTTCTCCGTTATAAAGCTTGCATTCAATCAAAGGCGAACAATGATAAATAAGCCTCCACAGATTAAAAACAACTTTCAAGGGTACCGTTTTCCAGTTTAACATAACGCTATCCTGTCATCGTCTGACCAAGTTGACCACTTAGAACTTGATTATTACCTGCTTCACCTAAAAGTATCATGATAATAGTTAGATACCTGGCCTCTTTCACTCTATTATACTCATCAGCTACTTTCTTTTCTTCATTTTTGGCCACTTCAAACTCCTTCGTGACATCTTCTTCCTTTTTCAATAGATCTTTATATTGATCAAGGGCCTTCAGATTTGGAGCTGTCCTTTCAATCTCTGACGTCAACGCAGCCATTTTTTGTGTAAATTCCACCTCAAGCTTCTCCCGTTCAGCCGGTTTCCTTTTCTGCTGATAAGTTTTACTCAGATTACTGAAATCAAAAACAGGGCCCGGCATCGACTCTCCAGTATCCATTGGATCAGAGATAGTGGGAAGGGGTATCTGCTCCAATTCACATGTGTCCAGTATCTCTTGTTTTCTTGAATTCAGCTGCTCAATCTGTGCCTCCTGCAAAATAAGACGGAAAGCAAATCATATCCTCCAATTCTTTACTAATACTATCTCTATTTCTATAAAATCAAGTTGTGAATGGCGGCTCAGGATTTCCCCATGCTCCTTTGATAAAGAACTATTTGAAAAAATCATCATTAAGCAACAAACCTTTGACCTAATTTGACGGTTATGTTTGCTGATGCTTGTTGTCTCAGCAGAAATCTTTTTCTGCCAATCCTGCAGATGCTTTTCGCACACTTCAGCTTTAGACCTCAAATCTGTAGAAAAGAAGAGAAGATTTCTTGTCTTTTTCAATTGATTCTATAGTCCGAGAAAACAAAACAAGTGGAGTGCTTTCAGTTGAATGATATTACTAGAAAAAGCACTAAACAGAACAAAATACGGCAAAGAAATGAAGGGAGAGAGACGATAAATGAAGAGGGAACCTCTCTGCCAGGAAATGCACCCCCACCCCCCAAATAAAAAAGGAAAAAAAAAAAACAAAGGCCCCCAAAGGCCTTATCCAAAGCTGTACCAGAAGGTGAAGGACTGAATGCGGTACAACATCCTGGAAAATGTTTGACACTGTAAACTAATAGCTTTTGTTAGAGACAGCATGCTAACACCCCATATTCAGTAACTCAAAAATGATTCACTATTCAATTTGAAAAATGGTTTAAAAATTACTTAATTAGTCCTGTATAAAAATAATGTTACACTGAATCAGAAAATTAACATCTCACTTATGTTATTGCTAACTTCCTATCACCAAAAGCCTACACTTATCCATATAAAAAATTAACATCTCATTAACACGAACAATTCTCCAAGTCAAGAATGCATGTTATCCCTGATCTAGCTCTCTGAGTAGGGAAGACATTTTTTACATTGAATTTCTATTCATGAAATGAAAGCTGACATCTGGTCCGACCAACCTGAAAAGTTGGCACAACTTAAACTCAAAAATAATACTGAAAAAACTTACCGGACACTTCTTCATTGTAACCCTCAATCTCTTCAGTTGCTTTCTCCATGGCTGACTTCTGCGCCACCTGCTTGCCCTCAATCTCTTCCAATTGCTTCCTAAAGTTACCAAGAGTTGATTCCAGTTTCACAATACGTGAATTCATATCCCGCTTCTGCTCATATTCCAACCTGTCACATAATGAAAGTCAGGGAGTGCTAGGGACTCAAACTATGCAAAAACTAGAGAACATAATGTTTTACAAGAAAAAGGTCAGTTGAATTGACACAGCAGAAATCAAACTTGAAAATTTTTTAAATCAAAAGAGTCTAGAAAATAACTCTGCATGTGATGGCAAAACCAGTGTATTAGAAGAAGGTAATATAAGGTTAGAGTAGCAGAATTATGTAAACATCTCTAGCACAGAAGAAGTTAGTTAAGTCATTGAAATAAAGAGTATATAACTTTCAAAATCTAAACAAACTCTAATTATTAACTTCTAACTTCTAAACAACAAAGAAAAAACATTTCTATGTGTTTCGGAGTTGGCAACTCGAGAGATGCAAGGACAACTCATACTTCTTATCCTCGATCTCTTAAAATCGCAGCACCTCAGTGAGGCGAGGCTCAGAAATAAAACAGGAAAGCAGCAAACACCATTCGTTAAACAGGAAAAGGGTTATTTAGACTTTAGATTGCCATCTAAGTCCCTCTATGCAAAAAGGAGACCTTTTCAGTGGATATCATTTTTAATGCCACCCCCCTGCATAACATTGATATATGATCGTATTCCTCTATACATTGACGCCTACCATCTCATCCTACTGCCTACAAAGGAACAGACTGCATATCCAACAAAAATCACAATGAATTCTAGGTTATCAGTTCTTGTTGATCTTTTCTAGACTTTGACAATCTAGCTTAACGGTTTCTTTTCACAAAGACCCACGACTACTCATCAGATCCCAAAACTTTGCTCAGAATGCAGCTCTAAGCATAATACTCCAAGTGAAAGTGTCTCGAGGAATAAGAGAATTGCACACAACTTGAGATTCCATTGCTACAAGCATTATGTTAAGCTTAAGCACAACAGAAAATGCTACAAGCATCAAGGAACCACACCCTTTAGAAATGCTTAAGGGTATTAATTACCAATTAAAAGATATAAAACAACAAAATCATCAACAGCGAGAGCGAGATGTCTGGACTTCAAATCATGTCCACTTGTCTGGACTTGAAATCATGTCCACTGTTATCTAGATCACCATTCCAAATGGAAATTAAGATTACCAGATCTGTTTGTCCAGCTAACATTCAGCAGACCATGTTGAAGAAGAAAGATAGGATGTAATTGCTAGTCAACCAATGGCTCCCAAAACACTTACTGTAAAAAGATGGCTAATAATTTTCTTCGCCAGAATCTAGACATCCTGGTTTTACTCGTAGCACTTCCTAAAGTAATATGGAAGTTCAAATCTGTATTCTTAATGCAAAATGTGGAAATAGGAGAGAACCACAACTTACTTTCTAAATAGAGAAGAAGAAGAAAAAAGCCAGTGCAAATTTTGAACTTTGAAATTAAGGAAGATGTGACATTCTGGATGTTAAACGACATTGATAGAGGCAAGCACAATAAGCAGCATAATTTTCAAATTCAAGAAAAGGTGGAAAATACTTTGTGATGATCCAAGAAATAATGTTGGAAATTCATTTTGTCAAGGAGGGCGTACAGAAATATGAAAATTGATTTACCATTCTCAAAAAAATGAAAGACTAGATTATCTGAGTCTCAGATAGCTAACAGTTTCAGTACATCATCAACTTATTTTAGCTTTTATGATGGCACAATGAATGCTTAAATCAGCAGGCACACGTACTGAGATTTTAGCTTTGACTGTTGGTTATGCAAGTTAAGTCTTTCTTCAGCCATTTGTTGAACAGCTTTGAGCTGGTTTTCTTCATACTCCCGTATGTTCTTCACCCCAACAGATTCGCTAAATTTCTTATATATTCTGTCAACAATGTCATTGATCCTTTTCTCTCGTAATAAGATCTCGCGTGCCCTCGTATCAATGTTTCTTTTCAACTGCAGAAACCCAAATTGTGCACCAAGTTATAAATGAACACCAGAATCAGATCATAAACACAAGAAGCGTAATACCTCCTCAAGTTCAGGCTGGATTTGTCCAATCTCATTAGCAATAGCACCCTTTTCACGCTCCAAATTTAGAAGCTTGTCTTCAATACTTTTCTGCAAGCAACAACTCAAACAGTATTACAAGATGCATATATAGAGAAAGAGAAAAACCCAACAAGGCAAGTAGATAAAATGATTAATTTCTATGAAGCTAATGAGATGCAACTGATCTTCTTAAGGGTCGTTTTGGTTCTTTGAAGCAATAACAGGGCTGAATATTACTTAATCAACGAGGCTGTTTTCCCTGTAAATGGAGTTGAGAATAGTCAAACTCCTGCTAATCTTCTAGGGTGCAGTGTGGGCTCTTTCTCCACAGCTTATCTAGGATTACCAGTAGGGGCCAATGTTATCAAAGGCGAATATTATTTAATCAACGAAGCTTTTTGACCCATAAAAAGACTTTCAAAATAACCTATCACAAATAAAGAGAAAAAGTTTTACTCCCTCCGTCCCATATATATGGCACTTTTCACTTCTTTAGAGTCAATTTGATCAACTCAATATTTTAAAATTAAAAGTTAGATATTCAAAAATTATGCGAAAAGTACTATAAATTGCAAATCTTCTCATGTCAGTATGATGAATAATTACATTTCAATGTTGGTCAAAGTTCACATAGTTTAAATCTAGAGAAGCGAAAAGTGCCTCGTAAATTGGGATAGAGGGAGTATTAGTTTTATTTGAAACTTAAACAAATTATAAGAAAACAAACACAAAGATAAAAGTTGGTTTGAGTTGGGTAGTTTGGACTTTGGGCTATGACCCCATTATTTAGCCCAAATTGACCAGCTCATCTTGACACAAGCAAACTTTCGAGGGATTATGACCCAAATCATTTGTGCTTTGTTGATTCAACCCTTCTGACCCAGCAAAATTTAGCACAACCCATCCACTTACAGCCCTATTCCCAAATAAATTTAGCTCTTGCATTGAATTGATGAAACTATAGCCTAGACTTCTATATATCACAAAACTATGGCCATTAACTTTCAAAACAAATTGTGAAAATTCGGAGGTTCAAAGGATGACCTAGATATTAAACGGACAAGAAAGGGAGGAAACTAAGGAGTCTTTGATTCCTTAAAGTGGAAGCATCCGAGAAATGGGGTATTTCAGTCAAAGTTTGCCTATACAATCTTTCTTCTGATTTTCGAGGAGCAGAACGTGTCAAAAAGCTTCATGTATATGCTTGTATCTTTTCTCTTCTGAGGTAAATTGCTATAAATGTATATGACACAGACAATCTGTTAGACTTTCTCAGCTTTATTGCATTTATTAGGACTGAGCTCCTATCCTCTCATAATCTGCACCTATTTCTTATTGTTCTTCATCACAATACCTTTCTTTATAATGGTGTAGAGGCCAACTTACACGTATCTCGATTAATTCACCTGGCGAGTCCAACCCACAAGCACAGGGTGCTAAGATAATCCTGCCCACCGGGGGTAGAGCAGATGGCTCGGTAAAATTCTTTTAATTATCATAAAAGACTACCTTATTAAATGCACTATTCAATTCTCTCACGTCACTCCGCTACTTTAAACTATATCCCTACGTAACAATGATGGAGAATAAAAACGAAAAGATATAAATAAAATTAGAAAATAGATGAAAAGGTTTTTGTTGTCCCTTCAAGCTTTATTTCTAATTATTTATTTTAATCTTTCTTAGTTTTATTTATATTCATTTTAATTTTCTGATTAAGTATACAAAGAGTATTTGAAGAAGTTGAATGGAAGAAAGTAGGACTATATTCACCTTCCAGCAAAATAGGAGAATTTGGTAACTACACAAAAGAATAAAACCATTACGTACGAGGCAAAGTAGCACCCAAGGGTGTGGCCTAGGCCTAGTATGGTATGGTATGGCTTTTAAAACTTCGGTTCCGTAATTTTGGTTTTTGGTTTTCAAAAATGTTCTACCATAACCATAGCGAATTAGTTCGTAAGTTCGGTATTTTTTAACTTCAGTTTCGGTTTGTGCGGTACGGTAAGTCAGTAACTACGGTTTATTCGACTCGACTTACATACAGTGGAGAATTATGACTTCGATAGTGGTGGGCTCTCATGCTTGAAATGAACTAAAATTATCTAGACGTGGCCAGAAATGACACTCAAGTTTGAGTAATCGGTATTGTATATGACTACATGTAATTAAGTATTTAGTTTATACATAATAGTAATGACAAGAAGCTTTGAGCCCAATGGATTTTAGGATTTTGGGCCTTTTAGTAGTTTATATTTGAACTGGTTAAATTAATACTAGCTATATAATAATATAATATAATGGATTGTATATCTAATTAAACATTTTGGTAAGGGGTTCAGTATTTCAGTATGTTATACTCCCTCTGTTCCAGTTTATGTGAACCTATTTCCTTTTTGGTCCGTTCCAAAAAGAATGACCCATTTCTAAATTTGGAAACAATTTAGCTTAAACTTACAATTCTACCCTTAATGAGAAGCTTTTATAACCACACAAATACTCGGGGCACCTTTTTGACTTGTTTAGGACCACAAATTCCAAAAGTCTTCATTTTTTCTTGAACTCCATATCCAGTCAAACAGGTTCACATAAATTGGAACGGAGGGAGTAATAAATACCAAAAAAATTGAAACAAAATACCATAATGCCAAAGTCAAAAATTTCGGTATGGTAATTCAGTATTTACCACACTATGCACACCCCTAGGCCTAGTGGTCAATGAAATGGGTGCACACCTTGGAAGTCAAGGTTAAAATCACAGCACAACAGAGAGTCAGAGACAAAACACATTATGGAAAAACCCTGGGAATCATGGATGGAAAACTTACAATCCTAGGAGCTACTGAGGTTTTTGCCTCCTCCGGTAATCTCTAGCTCACTCTCAACATTTTGTCCCACCCCCTACAGTACAGAAGTTGGTTCCAAGAGAAAGGAGTGAAAGGTAGGAAAATCTAGGACTTAAATTATGCAGTGGACTCCACATCAAACAGAAGTTGACTCTATATCAAAATGATTAAATTTCTTATTTCACCTGAAGTGAAGGTTTTCCTCGGTCATTAAACTAAAGGATACGTGAATCAAAGCAATGCAAAAAGAGAGTAAGACACTAGCAAACTAGGTAATGAGCCAAAGAACAATTTGTCCTTCAACTCTGAACAATTAAATAAACCAATTTTTCCAAAATTATCTGCAGTCAACTAAATCCCTTCGGTTCTTGGAACATCTGATTTACCAACTTAATGACATAATACATTAGCAATCAAAAATATATTTTTAAAAAACAAATCTCAAGTTTTTAAACTCCCTCCATTTCAATTTACGTGAACCTATTTGACTGGGCTCAGGGCTTAAGAAAAAAAAGAAGATTTTTGAACTTATGGTATAAAATAAGGCATATATATTTTGTGTGGCTATAAATCATTGCATAAAGGCAAATTGTTTCCAAATATAGAAAGGGTCATTCTTTTTGGTGCGGACTAAAAAGGAAATAGGTTTATATAAATTGAAACGGAGGGAGTATATATGTTAAGGTATGAAATCACCTTCGATTCACCCCCAAAAATATCGACATGACATCACCAGTAACTTTCAGGAATTCTCTTAAAATCCTAGCATTTAGAGATGAGCTTTATTTTTAGGTTGTCAGATAAGAAGATCCAAGTGTCTTAATTGGAAGATTGATCCAATTAAATTGCGGTTGCCTTAAGTTTCTTTAAGAACTAAAAGGATGGAGATTCTGTTCACAAATTTGTATGAATAGATAAGCAATGACCTTCTCGATTTCCGCATAGTGAATCTTTTTCTCAAGTCCACTGATTTTTCCGGATGCTTCAGACTCCTTTAGCTGCATCTCCCTTATCGATCCAAGCTTCTCAAATTCCGATTCAAGACCTTCCTTTTTCTTCTTAAGCCCTACAAAACGAAAAGTTCAGAACCATGCAACCAACCAAAGTAACATAGATAATGAATTCCACAAACCTTCAATTTTTTTATCATCCCATTTATGCGAACGCGCTTCCATGCCACCACTAGTACCACCAGTCATTGTACCAGACTTTGTCAACAGAATCCCATCAACAGTCACAACTACAAGAAACTCATACATTCTTTGTAAGTACAAGAAGAGCATACCTTTTCTACTTTAATCCAAAGTAACCAGTAGATGGAAACGAGGGAAGTGCCTTTTGTGTTTGTTAACAGCGTAGAACTTACCTTTAAATCTTTCCCCGCTCCAGCTAAGATGCTTAGCTTCAGTTAGGTCATCACAGACAAGGGTATTACCAACAGCAAACAAAATAGCTTTCTCCAATGAGGGATCAAATCTGTTTACTGTTAAGAACAAAACTAATAGCATCTGCTAGGGTTTTGCAATTAGTTGTTCATAGGTGAAGAGTCATAGATAATCAAAATATTAGATACATTGATTAGCATGGCAAGACAGGATACTGTATGACATCAAAAGCGAGCTTTGCAGTTCCACCCAAGGTACGCAGCCTCTCTATTATTGGCTTTACACGGACTGACTGAAGAGGTATAAATGTCTGAGGAGGAAGCCTTTGTTCTTTCAAATACTACACAAATGAAGCCCGCAGAGAATAGTTATTGCAATGACCAATTTGTTATTTTGCAAAATTAGAAGTTATCCAAACTAAATTAAAACAAGAGTCAGTGAAGCTTCATCTACTTGGAAGTGAAAAAGCATGATCACTGAGCATTACATAGCAAACTTAGCCTTTCTACCTCATAAAATAACATTGCAGAGAATTACACGACTCTACTACGGAAAAAAAAATTCTAACCTTTTTCTCTAATAAAAGAAACCATATACATGGCAGTCCCTATGAAGAGAAGAGGAAAGTATTGAAAATAGAGACAAGTCCATCGACAAGAGATGCAGAGGATTGAGAGGAGAACTGCAGATCAGCATTCCAGCAAATGCATAAACTTGTTTCTCACCTTGGACCAAATGCATGGCAACCCATCATGCAAGCACTAATAGAATTCCCTAGCACACGGAAGCATCTCAGGATTCAAACCAACTTATGAACCATTTCATCCAGAGGACACTAAAGAAGCACACATAACTATTGCACCTCTGTCCTTATTTTGATGCAGAACCACAATGTAGCAATATGTTTCCATCAGATCACACAACTTTCTTTGATGAATTATGGATTTCTCAAAAACGTATTCAAAACTGCACAAGCATTCCAAAGGCTGAGGCAGGAAATAATGTCACATCACATCAAGATCCCATTAATAAAATCAAGAAAACAAGACCTGTTAAACCCACATTCTCTCTTGATAACAACCATTTCTTGATTTGTGTTTATCATCCTTTAGCATGGGTTATGCTAATCTCCTCTGTACTGTTCCCTTGATGACACAATTAGCCCTATTTCCAAGTAAATTGTAGCCTAAATTTAAACCTATAGACACAGTCGAATAAAACAAGAAATCTAGTACTATCACAAACTCAAGCTCAAAACCCTAACAATAACGATTTCTGATCAAAATAGTTTTTGCAGTAACACATAAAATTTCAACTATAGCTTATGCACGATACTAGTGGTCCCTGCATTAAGTTATTATTTCAAAAAATTCTTCAAAACAGAAACTGCAAACTAATCAGCACCTATTGATGACCACGTTCTCGACAATCCTGTAATCACACATCATACAATGAATGAAGATAGAAGCTACTTTGAAATTGCAAAACTGAGTCACTGGAACAAGCTAGGATGTCATTTCCAACTTGACAGATGACTATGCCTGAGTGACATTCACGATAGGGAATATCTTACGCCTGGGTGCTATTGGTGAAAGTTTCTAGTTATCAACCAAAAGAAAAGAAAAGACCTATTCCCCTCCAAAAGACCAGGAACAACTATGGGAAACGTCTATATGTTTCAACCAATTACTGAAAAGAAGAAAACAATTAAGTAGAGAATCGTGAAAAAGGCCTGATAGACATTGGATCCCCTTCTATAGAGTTTATTCATAATCAAAAATTTAACCATCTATACTATTAGCATTTCTACATCTCCGAAAGTCTTAATTTATAGGTCAACAATACCCAAAACAGCAGATTCAATATAACCAATCCATCATCCAAGTTGACAGAGCCAAACTAGGAAATCCGCATATTCTAAAAAACAAACACATAGGGGGGAACACAAGCAAGATCCATATTAAATTGTGGAAAAAGAAAACAGACTTAGCACTCTGAGCTACTATGCATTAGACACGTCGCTGCCATGCTAGATAGAGTTATTATACGAACCTTGATGCATTCTTTTCCTGTTTGTTCGTTCTCAACTACTACTGCATCCATAAATCTGCCCATTGCAACAGTTACAGCAAGGTTATACTTCTTTTGTGTTGGCCTGCAGAGATCAGTCATCCGACCATGAACACCAGGAAATAAACGCTTCAGAGTTTCAACTGCTTGAGAAAATTTGGCATCCCTCTCAGTTTCATGTCTCTCAGCCTTCAGTTCACGAAGTTGATCTTCTACTTCATCCATTCGCTTCCTCAAATTGTCATATTTGTCTCTGTGGAAAGAAGAGATTCCACATTATGTACATAAATATAAGTAAATGCAAATGGCCATTATATGCACTTGCATATGTAACGTGTACAAGCATATAAATTAAGAAGAAATCATGTCATTCAGCAGTATATGTTAAATCTCCATCTGACTAACTTGGACCGTCTAAGATTATTTTTCATCTCACGCTGTTCTTCATTCACCCGTTTCAGTTCTTCATCATGCTTCTTAACTGCATCAAGAATTTTCTTCAGCCTAGTTTGCATCTGTTTCTCCTGAGACTCCAGCTCATGCTTCCGATTTTCCAATTGCTGAAGATTTTCTTCCAAATTCTTCTCAGCATCAATGTCAGCACGCTGCTGCCTATCTAAAACCTCCTTCTCATCCCTTAACTTTGCAGTTTTCATGCCAGCCTCCTCTTTACTGTAAAATCAAATTCATATCGCTTCATCAAATGAAACCATTGTCCTTTACTCATTTTATGGATGTACAAATCTATTCAGAAACGACAAACTAAAAGATCAACAATGATAGCAACATAGCAAGCATGTGTAAAGGAAAAAAACATTTGTGTTTCTAATGAAATAATAATTGATAAAGCATAGCATTTGATGCCATCCTCCTCTTATCCTCTACCAGGGCAGCCACAAAGAGAGGGAAAGAGAAACAGGGAGAGGGAAAGAGAAACGGGGAGAGAGAGACAGACAGAGAAAGCAAAAAAAAAACTGAACCCATGATAGCCCATCTAATAAACAACCAAAGCAAATAGGAAATGACCTCTGCATACATGTTATAATATCTTGTCCAACCCTCAATAGGCACCGAGGAATAGAGATGCAACGGACTGGAACTTTGGGTGCAAACATGCTCACAAAGGCCATAAAGAGCATATGCATGTAAAAGTGGTTCTTGGAGAAATTGTATTCAACTGATACAAAAGCAACCATCATCTACTTGTCATCTGAGTTTCAGTTACTACATTTGTTAACTTTAGTTAGTCATTCAAAATAAAGGTGATGCACAATCCAAGAATATTTAAAATAAAGGTGATACAAACATGGTAGAGTGTTGTAGGTGTGACCAACTTCAGACAACTACAAGAGCAGATTTTTTCCATATTTGACAGAACGTGGGATGCTGTAATTTCCAACTATAATAAGAAATAGAGTGGGAAAATAAAGGATGATAATAAGAGAACTGGAAAGATAATTCCTGCCTAGATGCTCAAACTATTTTACCCAAAGATTTTTTTCAAAACCAGAAAAAAGCACCAGATCAACTTTGAACAACTACAGTTACTCGCACTTGTACACGTAAATAAGAATTTTTCAATGATCAAAGGACTTACATTTGGTGATATGTCTCTAACTGACTGTCAGCTAACTGAAGTTTTCCGCCTGCTTCTTGACTTTTCTGACGCACTTCATCAAGCTGCTTAGTAATGTCCCTCAAGTCACTCTGAAGTTTCTTCACCTCATCCGCATGCCTTCTTTTTTCTTCTCTCTTCTTATCAAGGTCTTTAGTCGTATTTTTTATTTTTGAAGCAATCCGATTCATCTCTTCCTTCAACTTTACAACTTCAGGTTGCTATGGACGGAAAACATAAACCATTAGGTAACCATATCATCAACTACCTAGAAATATGTATAGTTCACAATGATAGGGAAGACAGAGTAATTGTGAAACAAGTGTACATCTACTAAATGATAATTTGGATCCATTTCTTTCTATCATAGAGAAAAGATCAGATACCTTGGCTACTTCTAACGAGCTCACTCAGTAGGGTACATCACACTGTCCTTTTTTCAAGCTTTATAGTAGCCACACAAAACTAAAATAGAATAATAATCAAATACATAAGCATACATGTTTGATAAAGCGATGTAGTTGTGAGACCAAAACAAGTCACTCAGGAAGCCAATGAATAGAACTCCTTCAAAATGTTGAAACCCGTATAATCTTCTAAATGCTTATCTAGAGCAACATCTGTTAATGTTAGTGATGCAACTGAATAGAATTGTTAGATAGTTAATGTACATAGTTAACTTGTATATAGTTATACTTGGTGTTAGTGTTGTACATCCAGAAAACATGATTACGTACATTGTACAGTGTGGATATAAAAAGGAAGCCATCTCTCATTCGGGATGGCAACAAGATATCATTGAGGAGATAATTGTTCTGCATGTTGGTGGTACCTTGGAGCGTGTCACTCTACCTCCACGTATATATATTATAGATTCTCAGAGCATTTATGCAGTCAAAATTGGTCCAGATGGTAAAATTGTTCGACTAAAGGTGCATCTTGTTGCCAGATATACTCAATTATTTGGACTTGATTACAGTTATACTTTCTCTTTTTGTGGCTAATATTGCATACGCTATATTTTTCAATCCATGGCAAATGTTCGCCATTGGCCTCCTTTGTTTATAAGGAAAACAAAAATATTTAGGCAAATACTTATCAATCCATGGCAAATATTCACCATTGCCTCTTTAGACATTAAGAATAATTATCTCCAAGAAAATCTTGAGGATGAAGAATATAACACTTGGTTTTGTTGCTCAGGGAGATACTAGTGGTCTTGTATGTTGGTTGCACTGATCATGTGATCTGAAACAGTTTCCTTGAGCATGGTTTGGTCAGTTCAGCATGATTATTCTAGAGTTTGGCATAACTTTTAGTGAAACTCGTCATTTTATTTTCTAACGACATTCTGCTCCATATTTGTTCATTTACTTGGTGGTCTATGTTGATGATATAGTTACAGTGATAATGACCAGGATGGTATCATTAAATTGAAGCGCCCCTTTTTTCAACACTTCTGGACTAAAAATCTGGGCAAATTGAAGTAGTTTTTTTAGCATTAAGGTCATTCAATTCAAAAGGTATCGTCATCTCACAATGGAAGTAGACTTTATACATTCTTGAGGAGTCAAGAATGACAGGTTGTAGACCCATTCATACTCCAAATGCTAAGCTTTTGTAAAATCAAGGGAGCCCCTTACTGATCCTGCAAGGTATAGTAGATTGGTTGTTAAGTTGAATTACTGCATAGTAACTCGACCTGGCATTGCCTCTCTGGTGAATAATGTAAGTCAATTTACGGGCTCTCTATGTGACAGTCATTGGGATGTGGTTGACCTTATTTTCAATATATTAAAACAACCTTAGGGAAAGGATTATTCTTTGAGGATTGAGGTCATAAGCAGATTGTTAATACACAAACGCAGATTGGGAAAGACTACCTTCTAATAGATGTTTCACATCTAGATAATTTGACCTGGTTGGAGGGAATTTGATGTCTTGAAAGAGCATGAAACAACACACGGTTGCTCAATTTAGTGCAGAAGCAAAATATCAAACAATATTTGTGGCAACTTCTGAACTGGCTTGGATGGAACTCGTATGTGATAGTCAAGTTGCTCTTCATATTGCATCAAAATGGGTTTTTCATGAGAGGACTAAACATATCGAGAGTCGGTTGAATTTGTAAAACCAATCAACTTGCAGATGTTTTCACCAAGCTCCTTAGTGATCCTCGAATAAGTTACATTTGTAACAAGCTCGGTACAACCGACTTGTATGCACCGGCTTGAAAGGGAGTGTTATATATTTTACATACACACTTAAGGTGGATAATATTATACCTAATATTAGCGTCCTACATCAGGAAAACATATAAAAAGGACTCGGCATATGAGCTATCTTGACAGATTCTAATAATATTTTCTCTCATGTCCTTATTTCTCACAAGAATACCACATACAAACTGCTTATGATGCTCCATAATGGATACAGGACCACAGTTCACCTGGAAATCAATGGAAACACCAAATTGACATACAAATATACAATCATTTTAGCCATCACCAACATAGACGGTTTCCACTGTTCTCATTATCCTTTAAGTTTATACATTCTGATAACTAGAAAATTAATTGGATTTGTCATCATCCTTCATGTTAGCACTAAATTATGCAACAAATAAGCATCAACCCTAGAATCTAGAGTCTGTGTATCGGTTAATCTATTTGGAGTTTAGGCAATTCATTAATCTTAACACAATATGGTAATACTTTATGAAGTCAGTGCATGCATAGACTGAGTCAAAGAAAGGGAAATACATGATGTGGGAAATGTTGTTAAAGGCTCATTTTAGGCACCCTTGAGCCCTTAAGCTCAGTTAAATCCAAGTTGTGAGCTTTGGCCTTGGCTCTATCTTTAAGAAGATAGTATTAGACAATAAATAGTCAGTATAATGATCTACATTAACTGCTAAAAAACGTTATGACTGAATCTTTAATGATTAGGTATAAGAAACAGAAAAATTTAGCATAAACAGACTAGCTCAAAAGAACATAAAGCTACATCCTATCATCTAAGTCAAAAATGTAAAGGGTTATAAACTTGATTGATATGATTTTTACTTCATATTTTGTTTAATTATAGTTATTCCAATTCTTTGGTCCATATAGTCTTGTTTGTGTTAATAGCTATTTTTCCTTGCATTACATTTTTTTTTCTTCATTAGTTCCTTTCTTCACTAAAACTCATAATTTAATCTCGCTTAGCAATTAAAGCCCAATAGGCTGTGGCTTATTTTGCACTCTCCAGTTTTGGCTATCTTGGCTATCTAAATGTGGGTAAAACAAGATAGAACATCTCTTGAAGAATTACCAGCTCTAAGGTGTGTGATGGCATCAAGATTATATTCTTGGAAGATTAGAGGTNTTCAAAACCCAGTCCAAGATTGGTGATCAGCTTGCATCCTTTCCCTTTTTCAATAACTCTACCCCCAAAACACAAGTGATGAATATCATAATTTCGAAGATTTAATAGCAGTAAATCTGGTCCATGTGACATTAAGTTATGCAGGGTATCATGCACAAAAACTTGAAATGTAACTTGAAGCTTCAACTCCCAGGCACACATGACAAGGCATTAACATCAGGCATAATAACAATTATAAAAGCAAGATTAATAAGGTTGAAGAAATTACATTCTTGTCAAGTTTGTTCTTTCTATCAGTAATCTTCCTTTCGTACATTGCAATCTCTTTCATATATCCACTTAGTTCTTTCTTCTGGCTGCTAGATGCACTTTCATATTCCCCCAGCTTCTCCACAATTTCTTTGACAACTGCTTCTTCAGCGTCAAGTTCCTCATTGGCCTTTGTGACATCCTTTTCTATGTTAAATAATTGCCATAGAAAGTATTCTTGCTTCAAAGATTTCTGCAATAAAGACAACAGAAGCAGGACTGTGACTTACCGTTTGGAAAAGCCAGCACAGAATAACAGATAGCGCAAAGTAGATCATTT